TAGGCGGGGACCCTGAAGTAAAAGACACGCGGGGAAGTTCTCCCCCGAAACGGTTTTTTTTCCTTTAACTACTATACCGATAATATGCCAATGTCACACACCCCGGCAATTAAAAAAAAATCGATACGTCTACTGTGTGTTTACATGACATTGTTAAAGTGCGACCTCTGATAAGAGGTCAATTTTTGTGACTCATTTCGACGTAACTTGTTTAGTTACTGACCCCTAAAAACACAGTCCCCTTTTGAAAGAGGTTAAATTTGTTTCTATTTTGACTCGCATTAACAAAAACCCTCGGTTCCGTCTTGCATATTTTTCAATCGGACTTCGAAGTCAGACGTTACAAAGTTTTGTTGTCCTATTCGTCTTTAGATCAGTACCTGAGACTGGACTCAAAGTTGTCAGTGTCATTTTGTCAATGAATTTAGGTCGTATGAATAGTGGATTTCTTTGTATAGATTCTAATTTTCTGAATTACCAGTGTCGTCCTAACCTTTTTGCACAGGATCGAATAGAAGTCAATCTGACTGATGGCAATACACAACAAGAATTCTTTGCAAGCTCTTGAGGGGCCACAGAAAATGAAGTCACGGGCCGGATTTGGCCCCCGGGCCTTGAGTTTGACACCCCTGCTCTAGGGAATCTTATCTGCATTTATAATAACCAGGGTTCTTAAGGGTATGCGGCAGTGTTATTGTTTTAAGCGAAAACAAAAAATATAACAAAAAGGCAGGGAAAATTATTAGTCTTTCACTGGAACTCATTAAAAGGGGTATCCTTAACGAGATTGAGCTCAACTAAATTGTGAATGCCAGGCTCAGAAAAAAATTGAAATCAATGGAAATGTCTTCGTATTCGTTTTTGTTAGCTTATATCCTGTTTTTAAAAAAAAAAAGGATTTGTGTTACCCCTCATGATGTTGAAACATTGAAAAGGACAGGTCTTACATTCCAGTAGAGGGCGCTCTGCCCCCATTGCTTCATGCCATTTAACCAAGCCATTCAGTTCAGTTCTGTAGTTAACCAATGTAACACGTTTTTTTGTGGCATTTAAAAAAACTTGATTCCCAAATCAAGAGACGGTAAAAAAAAATGTTAAACTTGTGATACAAATAATTGTTGTTTTTGCTAAACTTTCCAAATATTATAAAATAAACACTATTTCCAAAGTCACAGTAAATATAACCCCCGACCAGTGCCTGTTTAAAGCCTTAAAAAGAGGCCTTCACTATTCAATTATTACGTTTTCAATCAAAATGTTGTCTTGCGAAATAGTGATTTGATATAAATATTTTAAGTATATGTATATACCTAATTTAAAATGTATATTTTGTTAAAGTCATCTAGTAATGGGTTCACCAACCTGAACATTTTACAAAAAAATCAAAACTGAAAAAGGTAAAACATAATTATATTGGATTTAAATATTTATTTCTTAATAATATTACCAACACAAAACATACAAAATACCAAGCTGTCAATTAACTTGTCCGGCAAATAACAAGGGCATCAGCGGCAACACAAGTAACTGATAAAAAGAAATAAAAGTGCAATTTATTGATTATCATAAATAAGTACGAGCTTTGTACATACGAATGAGATCACCTCAAATTGAAATGGCTGAGACTTTTTTTTTTCAAGAAAACACCATGTACAACTGACTTCCTGTCAACTTTGGACATTTGCTTTTTTCACTTGCACAACAAAAATCATACACACATGTATCTGCTTCTTTATCTTAAAAGGTAATTCAATCAAGTCAATGCAAATCACTTAGAATAAAACTAGCATCCACCAGACACATTCATCCCTTGAACCTCTACAATATTCAATTAAAAACCTGCTTTTATCCATCCAGTTCTGTCATATATTTCAGGAAGAGCCTCTTAAAAACACTGGTGGTTTTTCAGTTGCTCCGCATCACTAAAGCCACTTGCACAGTTGGAGCACTGGAGTGTCATCTTTTCACTAGTGTGTATGAGTTGGTGTCTCTTTAAGTACTCCACACGACTGAAGCGCTTTCCGCACGCTTCACAGCCGTATGGACGCTCTCCTGTGTGGATCCGCTGGTGGCGCTCCAAGTTTCCCAGCCGGCTGAAGCTGCGTCCACACTGCTGGCACCGGTGCGGCCTCTCACCTGTGTGCACCACTTGATGTCGCTCCAGTGAGCGCGAGTGCGTGAAGCGCTTCCCGCAGATCTCACAGCAGTGCGGCCTCTCGGCGGCACAGGCGCACTCGTGGTTCTTGAGAGCCCAGTCGTGGCTGAACGCGTTGCCACAATGGGCACACGGGAACACTTCTTTCCCGCTGTGTGAAGGAGAAGCTCCCAGTGGACACGGGTGCTCCTCCAGCTCCGCCTCGGAGGTGAAGCCTCCACCACACTGTGTGCAGAAGTGGAGCAAGTCTTCACCCCCCTCCTCTTCTCCACTCTCACCGACACTCCCTGAAGCAGACAGGTGGGGCAGGTGCTCTGACTGTCCCTCCTCCACCACATCCTGCTCAGTCAGGACCGCAGCCTCCTCCTTCAGCTTATTGGGCCACCTCAGCTCCCCCCCGGCCCTCACAGCGTCCTTCAACCTGCCTGGTCCTATCTGCTCCTCTCTCTGCAGAGTCGGTGGCTCAAGCTCTTCGTCGTGCTCCAATCCATCGAGACCAATGAACTTCGGGGCCAGGCTGTCTTCGCTGCCTTGCACCACCTCTGATTTGGGGCTGACAGGCTGGGAGGCTGTCATGGCCGCCTGTTCGCGGCCCCTCTCGGCCCTCAGTGCCGATTCAAGACCCCTCAGCTCATCCATGGTCATGCCCCCCTCCGACGGCTCTGCTGAGTCCTCCTCCCAGTCCTCCTCATCCCTCTCTCCTGAATGAAGGGTCGGGGGGCGATCGGACAGTTCTCCTGAGTAGAGAGAAAGAAAGCAGAGAGAATGAGGGACAAAGCTTGTGATATTATTCCCACTTTAAATGTAAACTACTGGCTTCTGAACATTTTGCTTCTTTCCCTGAATAGGTGTGTCCTCGGCTCGTTACCTTCGCTCGTGGCTCTGGAGCCCGTGTGCCGCTTCCGGCTGGGCGTTTCCATCTTCAAAGCTTCCTTGATGAGCTGGAGAGAGGCGGGTCGATAGCCCTCTGTTTGTGAAAACTGCATTGAGAAGCACAGAGAATACCAAAAATGTAAAATAGTAGCACCACGTTTAATAAAAAAAAAAGTGCATTTAAATGTGTAGATGCCTTTTTCAAATTGGCTTGTTAAAGGTTAAGATGGCAACATAGTCCCTCAAACTATCATAACCTATAACTTGATAGCAGTGTATGATCTGTGGAAAGAAAAGCTACAGGTGGGCTACCCGAGTGTCCCATTACCTGCGTTTTCTTACACAGATTATTTGTAACAATTATACCATGTAACCTGTAAGTCCTCACTGCAGGAGAAAAGGTTCAAATCCGACACAGCGCCTCCTTTTACAGTCTGTATTTCCTGTTTATGTAATAATGAAAAAAAGGCCTACACAATTAGCTGTTTAAGCAATCAGTTGAGGCAGACAGACAATACAGTTACTGAATAATTGTCCATATTTGATCACTGCTGCATAGTTTGACAGTTTTACCGGGTTACACATGCCTCTGATTGGTTGTTTTCCTTTTTGCGTAGAGAACATCTTGCAAATAGAATTATGAGCGCCGAAGGAGGCTAAGAGACTTTAAAAAGTTATTGTGCTAATGTGATAAGTAACCAACTGAACATTTAACTGAACGTTAGCTCCTTGAAACAAAACAATACGATTGGTTATTAAAGCCATGCTGTGTCAGTAGTGATGTGTCGGTCGCGAACGAGCCGATTATTTTGAACGGCGCTTTGGTACGAACGAGGGGAACCAAGTCGTACTTGGTGAGAGCCGTTCTTTTTATCATTCAATCGTTGGTCCGCACTCACTGCCTGCCAAAATCCACTCGCCTTTTAAAAAGCTTGATTTTGTTCCCCAAACGTATTCTGTAAAGACCTGCCCCTACTCTGATTGGTAGGTTTCAGCACGAGGAGTGAGATGGGGTTGGTCTAAACGGAATACGCGATGAGAGAGAAGTGATAACAAGTGGTACAGGACAGGTAGACGACGTGTTTTTCGGATGGAAAATGGGCCAAAAGCGAAAAACGCAGTTGGATGCACTTCAACCAAAAAGCGCACCATTTGTAAAGGCAAAATAACCTTTAAAGGAGGGTCAACAAATAATCTCCATCGCCACTTAAAAACACAGTATCTAATATTAAGAGTTGCATGAATTTCATTCAAGGCAAGGCAGCTTTATTTACTTAACACGTACAGAGGGTAAATTCAAAGTAGTACATTCACTGACATGAATGACATGGATATGGCGCCACCTTGTGTCATATCTACAATGTAGATTATTGACATTAGGTGTGGCAATACAGCCAATCATTATCCTG